TGTGTGTGCGTGTGTGTGTGAGAGAGAGAGAGAGAATGGTGTGTGTGTATGTGTGTGTGTGTGTGTGTGTGAGAGAGAGAGAGAGAGAGAGAGAGAGTATGGTATGTGAGTCGGGGGGAAGTATGGTGTGTGTGGTGTGTGTATGTTTGTGTGAGGGAGTATGGTACATGAGTGTGTGTATGTGTGTGGGGGAGTATGGTATATGAGTGTGTGTGTGTGTGTGTGTGTGTGTGTGTGTGTGTGTGTGTGTGTGTGCGTGTATGGTACGTGAGTGTGAGTATGTGTGGGGGGGAGTATGGTATATGAGTATGTGTGTGTCTGTGTGTCTGTGTGTGTGCGTGCACGCACGTATGTCTCTGTGTGTATGTGCGGGTCTGCATGCCCTGGGCATGTATGTGGAGGCCAGAGGAGGATGCCAGGTGACCCGCTGTATCACCCCTCCCCTCTTATTTCCTTAAGACAGGATTTCACTGAACCTCATTCCGGCCAGGCTGGTGGCCAGCACGTTCCCAGGACTCAGCTCTGTTCCCAATGCTGGGTTTGTACACATGTGCAGCCGCGTCAAGTTTCCACATGTGTGCTGGGGTGTGAACTCACGTTCTCGTGCTTCCACAGCAAGTGTTCTTACTCACTGAGCTGTCTCTGTAGCTCCCATCGCAGAAGTTTTAAAAATTTCCTAGCATGCTTAGTGTACATAGCTCATCAAGAGACACTCTGGCCAGCAGCTTGTCTTCTGACTTGGGTATTCCCGGGGGCCTAAGGGGCTGGAGGCTCGCCTGGGCCCTGCTAATTTTGGGGGGGGGGGTTTCCTGTGTCCCACAGCCACTTGGTCCCAAATAATCACCCAGAGGCTTTAATATTAATTACAAACTGTTTGGTCTATGGCTCAGGCTTCTTGCTAGCTAGCTCTTTTATCTCAAATTATCCCATTTCTATTCATCTATGTATTGTCACACAGCTATGGTGTCACAGGTCTGTTGGCATCTTGCTCCTTGGTCTCAGGCTGGCGTCTGCCCTGACTCCACCCTTCCTCATCTCCATCTTCAGTTTGAATGTACCGCCTAACCTTATTCTGCCTCTCCATGGGCCAAACAGCTTTACTTATCAACCAATGAGAGCAAAACATATTCACAGCATCCAGAAAGACATCCCACAGCACCTGACATCCATTCTCCCGTCAGTCCCTACAGCTTGCTCTCCTGATGTGTCCTGTAATTGGTTCCCAGAGGTTTCACATCTGTCTCCTGACCTGCCCCACACTGCCCCCAGAGCCTGCCCTGCAGTGGGTTGAGCAGACAGATGCTCAGTCTCCTTCACTGAGCCTTAAAGCCAGTGTACTCCAGGTGCATCCAGAAGGGCCTCATGTCACATGCAGACCTTCAGAGAACTCTAGTTAGGACTGGAGACTCTGTGGCTAAATCTACAGCCAGAAACTTACCCTGTGGTTTTTCTCAATTTTTTTCCCTCTTCAAACGCACTTGGAAATCTGGTTGTGAGTCGGTTGGAAGCCTCGTCACTACCTGCCTGTGTAAGGGCAGAAGAAAAATGACCCTGGTGCCACAGCTAGGCAGCATGGCTGTGAGGGGGAGGGAAGAGACCACCTTGGGCAGAGGCCGCGGCTTCTCAGGAATATGACTGGTGGAGCTAGACCTGAACTGGGCTGTGGGTTTGGGGGCGAGGCCTCAGTCTCCTCTAGTTTCTAGCTCTTTCCTGAATCTACCCTCAAAGAGCAAATGAAACCAAAGCTCACAGCTCAGGTCACCCCAGGGGAAGATAAGTCACCCAGGACATGTCACCAGTCATGGAGTCGGAATCGGCAACTCCTTTATTGGCATCTTGTGTGGAAGAGAACATTCAGGAAAGGGAGGCATACTTCAGTCTGAGCTACTCCTGGCTGCTGGGGACTGGGTGACCTCAGGAAAATCACGGGGTACCTCTGAGCACGCATCCTCTCTCTGTGGAAGTGAGAGGGTTGGGGCTGTGACGGCAAGGCAGCCTCATGCAAAGGGTGGCGTCTGGCATCTAAGAGAGACTTGAATCTAGTCAGAGAAGTCATAAAGCAGGAGATGGAGGTGGAGAAAAGAGAGAGACCCATAGAAGATTTCAAAGACCATCTTACCTGTGAGCTGAGGGGTTCAGATCCCCCTCTGTCCTGGTAGATATTTTTTCAACTTGATACAAACTGGGATCATCTGGGAAAAGGGAGCCTCACTCAGTTGAGAAAATGCCTCCATCTAATTATGAGATGGGTTTGTAGGTAAGTCTGAAGGTATTGTTATTATTATGAGTTAGTATTAGTAGCAATAATAATTGTCATTATTATTATTAATGGTTGATGTGGGAGAGCCCAGCCCGCCATGGCAGCACCACCCCTGGGAATGTGGGTTCTATAAGAAAGCAGGCTGAGGAAACCATGGGGGCAAGCCACTAAGCAGCTCCCTTCCATGGCCTCTGCATCAGCTCCTGCCTCCAGGTTCCTGTTCTGACTGCTCTTCCTGATGGACTGTGAACTGTAAGCCAGATGAGTCCTTTTCTCCCCGAGGTTTCTCATGTTCGAGGTGTTTATCACAGCACTCGGAACCTAAGACACTGGGTAAGGAGGAGTAAGCTCACGCAGCTGAGGGGCCCTGTGTGTACCAGTCCTGCCTCTCACAGCCTCTCCTGGCTCGCGGCTTCCTGCTCGCCTCTGCTTCCACAGGGGAGCTGTAAGTCAGGGAGCTCCTGGTCCCCTCTGCCCTCCCCGCTACCTGTCCTCCTGTCTTCCTATAAGCCCTCTAATTGTGGGACTTGCAGCTCACCCAATCCAGTGTGACCTCATCCACCTTAATCACAGTGGCAAAGACCCGGGTTTTGCACAAGGCCATGTTCTAAGATTTAGCAGGGTTCTGAAGGGCCTGGGATAGATCTGGGATGGATCACTCACCCTGGAGGCAGTGCTCACACGCACAGCCACATGCTACGGGTTAGCGGTTCTCTGATCATTTGCATATGGCAACCCCACTGGCTTTCTCAGAGGACCACCATTTTACAGACGGTAAAGCTGAACAGGAGGCCCAAAGGGTGTCACATCCAAGGACCCAGCTTAGAAAGATGGGGGGTCCCAGCCCTGTGCTGGGGCCCTGGTCCTCAGGCCTCACTACCATTCAGCCGGGGTGGGCAGTACTGCGTGGAAGCAGGGGACAGCCATCAATGTCACCCGGAGAGGCTGAAGGGAGGACCCCTCCGCTCAGGCAGGCACCTCTCCTGTCGCTGCCTCTGCCCTGTGCAGGCCGCAGCGCGTAAACAGTCTGAAACCCATTCTCATTAGGCTAATTTACGAATAAATTACCATATTCAATGGCCTTATTTTTACTGCTCGTTAACGGGCCTATGATAGGATGATAATTACGGGATTTTAAGTGGCTAATGGCAGCTGGGGCGTCAAAAGCAGTTTTCCCCGAATCTGTTTATGGCAGTGAAGGTGACGGGAAGGGGGGGGGACACATTGAAATGTTGAAGTCACACTTTGTGGGGGGAAAAAAAACGCTTTAATTGTTGAGTATTTATTAGAGAGGTGGGAGTCTGTAATTTAAAAAATGAAACTCTGAAAAACAAAGGAAATTAATTAGTCTTCCCTGGGTGCCGTGACCTTCGGGGAGTTGGCAGGGACACGCATCCCCAAGGCTCACAGTCCCCCTGCTTGGCTGCTGCCGTCCTGCAGGGCAAGAATGACCTCCGAACTTGAACTTTTCAGGATGCTCCGCTCTGTGCGTGGCTACAGAGACCCCTCGTGGGGACCCCAGCACCCTGTCACCCACTGACAGGACGCACTCGGGTTCATCTTCCGCCTGGCTGTCATCAGTCACCGGCTCCTTGTTTCATCCGACCCCCTCCTCCCTGTTACACACGGACTGTTCCTGATACAGACCGGGGTCTCACTGTGGTCCTTTTGTACAATGATTTTCTTTAACCGTGAGATGGTCACTCCATGGGGTTGACGCTTATCGCCGTGTCCGCTTTTATGGAGGTAGAACCTGGGGCACAGAGAGGGTAGGTACCTTTGGCAAAGTCACACAGCCAGGGCTGCTCTCAGCGTCTCTGCAGCAGGCCCCGCAAGCCACGCCCATAATTTTCTTCCTCTCCTCAAACCCACAGCAAGTGGACCCCATGTGACGGGGATGGAACAGGAGCTCAGACAGGGCGAGCCCCCCACCTGGGGTCACTCGGGCTGACTTCCAAGGAAAGGTCTCAGCTCAAAACCTCAGCGCACTGTCCTGAAAAGGGTTTGAAACGGGAATGGAGGGCAGTGGCCTGGGGACAATTTAGGGAGTGATTGGAGACAGATTGGGACATTTTGACGGGCTGTTAGGGACCCTGTGCCGGGTTCTGGGGAGGCATCTGTCCTGCCTACCTGCTTGTGCTCCTTCCAGACAGCCCCTCACCCTCAACCCCATCCCTCCAGGGCCTCTGGTTTAGTATGCAGCTCTCGAAAAACAAGCAACCAGCAGCTGACAGTGGGAATAAATATCGCAGCAACGTTGGTTAGCATTTGATCCCAGCCGGGCTCCGGGAGCTGAAGTCCTGGAATGTCTCGGCAGTTTTTAATGCTGAATAATTTGATTAGATCAGTGGCTGAGCTGCTGTTCCCGGTGAGATAAACCCTCCCTCATTCCAGGGGACTTGGGGGACCACAGCCCCCACACCCTCCCTCCTAGCTGGCTGGCTGGCTGTGACTCTGTACCCCCAGCCTGGGCCTGGCTCTCTCTCCCTCCTCCCCTTCTGTTCCTCCCTCTCCCCCTCCTCGCCCACACCAGGTCCTCTTCTTAGGGCTCTTTAAAGGCACTGTTTGATCAATCTCCCACTTCCATTTCCCACACTTGTCAGCTCCAGTGTCTGATGAAGTGAAGACGACCCCACAGATCGCAGACGGGAGGGTGGGGGGTGGGGGATGGGGCACCAGGCCTCCCCTTCCCCTCCTGGCCCCCTGCCTCGTCCTGCAGAACCTTCTGGGTCCCCCTGGCCCTTCTCTATCAGCCAGGGGCCAGTTTTCCAGTCCCAGGGTGAAATTTCCTGGGCCTTGCCACCCACTAGTTCCAAATTTGGAGGTAATATTTCTCAGAAGGAACGGAATCTCTGCTTAGGCCAGGAGTCATGTCTCGGGTAGGGGAGGAGCTGAGGAGTAGAGGAGAGCATTTGGGACACCAGGAAGGAAAGACAGCCAGACATGTAAAGTTCTTCCTGGAAAACCCTTCATCTCCTTCTGAGGGGAGGAGAGGGGTACATACGTCTGTATGATTTTGTGGGAGGTGGCCCTGTAAAGTGACTATTGTCAAGGTGACAGAAGTGTTTGGAGCCATTGCCACCAAGGCAGGAAAGGGACTGGATCCAAGGACTCGGGGCGGCGGGGGGCACTGTCTATGGGGTCCCAGTGACCTCACTAGTCACCCGGTCTCCCCCTCTGCCTGCCTTACGGCTTCCTGGTTGAGGGTCCAGACCCCTCATTCCTCTCAGATGAGTTCAGAACCCACTGTGGAGGTCACTCTCCCGATCAAGAGCTGGCTTTGGTGGACAAGCCCTGTTCAGGGTTCCAGGGCAGGATGGGGAAAATGCGTCAGGAGGTGTGAAAACATCCTTCCTCTCCGAGCCAGGGTTCCTCACCCACAACGCAGAGATGGTGGAAGCCGATGGAGACCACGGCAAGGCTCACAGAGGGAGGTCACAACACCTCCGCGTTCCTTTGTCCTGTCCGTGGGGTCCTGTATCGTCATGGCCCAAACATGCGGCTCTCTGGCAGGGGTCGGAGACAGTCAGTCCTCGGTTTCTCCAAACCAGTGCTGAGCAGTTTCTCATCCTTATCTCCTTGATGTCCACCGGCAGGCATGCGAGCATCCTCACATGAGCCACCACCCTGGTTTTCTTGTGCTAAAATGAAACCAACATGTTTCCGTATATCGGTCTGTCCTGTTCCATCCCCTTCCATTGCCTCCTTCTCTCCCTTGCTTCCTGTTTCCTTCCTGATGCTCCTTCCTCCTTCCCCCCACCTGCCCATCATCTATGGGAAGATGGTTCCTTTGTCTGCCCCTCCCCTTCCTTCTTTCCTCTTTTTTTTTTCCTACTTCCTCCTTCTTAAGCACCCAGAAGTCCTGCAGTCAGTAAAACAGCCTCCCACCTGCAGTCTTGGCTGCTCTTCTGAGGGAGAGAGAGGCAACAAAACCTGTAAGAAATGTACACTGTACCACACTGATGCAGCAAGCAGAGAGCCGTGGAGGTAAAAAGCAGGGTGTGCGTGGGAAGGGAGGGGAGGGGCACCTCAGGGCAGGTCTGGGACAGTCCCTGGGCAATGATGATGTTCCTGCTGCCTCCTCCACTCCGGGAACGGATCTGCAAAGCTCGTGACCACAGGACTTGTCAGAGCCTTCAGAGCGTGGCCTTGTCCTAGGCTGTGGGCCGTGGGAAAGGGGTGGCAGTCTTGGAGGTCTTATACCAGCTGTGGGGACTGCTCCTCACGGCATACATAGGCGTTTGGGTTGGCAGCCTGCAAGGCTTGAGACCACTGGAGAAGGGATGCTCTCAGACCTCAAGAGGAAGGGGCTCCGCCTCACGGCAGAACCTGTCTCCCTACCCTGTGATGACCCACAGTCCCGTCTCCTGCACTTCTCCCTGGGACAGACCTCCTCAATGCTTCACATGGTTCTCATAGGTGTGGGACAGGCTGCGGCTCACAGCCGAGGCTCCCTGTCTTGTGGGCAGCCTGTGAAATCCCCTCACTTCTCTCGCATGCTCCCGTGGACACCCGACTTTCAGAGATGGTCACTCCCCCATGCTCACTTCTGTCTGTGGGCCTCAGCTCTACCTCCAGTTAAGAATGGAAGGTAGCTGTGGCCTGGGCCTGCCTCAAACTACAGCAACTCTGTGGGTCTCAGCCCCACAGCCAGCAGCCTCCCCTCGGGAGACTGGACAAGGATACCTGGGCTTCCTCAGGTGGTCAAAGGACCCACGTGTGGACTCTGAAGGAAAGAGAGCTTGACAGGGCAAGGAGGAGACCAGCTGAGATTTGTTTTGAGTTCTGGCTTTTTTCTTTTCTTTCTTTTTCTGCTGCTATTTATTGGTTGGTTTGTTTTTGACAAAGTCTCATGTAGCCCAGGCTAGCCTTAAACTCCCAGTGCAATGAAGATAGCCTTGAACTTCTGCTTCTACATCTCAAGTGCTAGGCCACCGGCCCTAGTCTATGCTGATTCAAACTCAGGGCTTTGTGTATGCCGGACAAACATAGCTGAGCTGTGTCCCCATGTAAAACAGTGGTCTGTCTCCTCTTCAGCTTCACCTGGTGCCTGGCCTATGGCCCAGGGATGGTTCTCGGTGGGGAACCGAACGGAGCAAACCAACAATGCTGTAGTGAGAAGATGTCACCTGCAGCTTTGTGAGAGGAGCAGTGGTGGGGGGGACCAGTCTGGTCATTTAACGCAGGAGTGGGGGCGGGGCTTGTTCGATAAAACCGATGCAGGACCAGGGATTGGCAGGCCTGGCGAAAACTGTCTGTGACAGGTACAGCAGCCAGGGTGAATGGTCTCTGGGACCGGGTCATGTTGCTTCAGGAGCTGCGTGCAGACTGAGATACAAAGGCTGCTGATTTCTTTTAAGGAATAGTTCCAAAGCAGGAGCTGGAAGGACCTGGGCTCAACGGTTCATCTCAGCATTTTGGGCAAAGCCTCTGCAGCTTATGGTTTTTCCAGCATACACGCCTCGCTTTCCTAAAGCATAGACGCATCCGTCCATCCTCACCCCACAGTACTGTTTTGAGCACCAACCAAGACAGCGTGAAAGTGTGGGGTAAGGCTCCGGGTGGGGCCTGTTGGGTGGTTTGAGTGAGAATGTCCCCCATAAGCTCATATACTTGAATGCTTAGTCACCAGGGAGTGGCACTGTTTGAAAGGATTAGAAGGATTAAGAGTTGTGGCCTCACTGGAGGAAGTGTGTCACCGAGGGTGGGCTTTGAGGTTCCACATGCCCACACCATTCCCAGTTGCTTCTCTCTGCTTCCTGCTTGCAGTTCAGGATTTGAGCTCTGGCCGCCACGCCAGCCTGCCGCTACACCTGCCTACCATGATGGGGATGGACTCTAATCTCTCTGGAACTGTAAGCCCAAATAAACCCTTCTTCCTTCTGTAAGTGGCCTTGGTCGTGGCATTTTATCACAGCAACAGAAAGGTGACTAACATACATGTGCATAAAAAGCAGAGCCGTGATTGTCTGTAATCACAGCTTCAGGAGCGCGGTGACCTTGAAACCTGTCCATGCATACAGATCAACCTAGTTTTAAGAAGGCTACTTGATACTCAGGGGATGGCTAACACTGAACTCTTATTCATCTCACAAAGCCCGGCCTGCATTGCCCTCCTTTAAAGGAAGTCTTGCTACTTAGCAGACGTGGAGTGAAGGTGGTGGACCCTTCTCTTTGTTGTCTTAAAGTGTCAGCCTAGTCCAAGCTGGGAAGCTGGGGCACTGTTTCTCCTCCTTATATGAGGCTGGGTGCTTCTGGAACGCTGCTGCTCTGATGCTGACTTCTGAACTCCAGCTCCTCACGGAGGAGTAACCAGTATCCAGCAGGTGCTCAGGTGCTGCTGGGGGAAGACGAAGAGGGAATGAGGAGCAAGCCCCCGCTCCCTTTATTCAAGTGAGGACGGCGGGAAGACGTGTGGTTCCGAGCTATAAACGGACCTATATTTTTAAATGCACTGGGGGAGGGGGTTCTATTTAAAGGAGCCCTGATATAAAGCTTTTCTGTAAAATAAAGACATCTTGAGTATATGAATAGTTGCCCCCTGACATATCTTATAAATTTTTTTTCAAGGATGATACTTAAAAAAAATCATTTGATAAATATTTGTGAAGGGCACACTGGATGCCAGGCTATGTGTAGGATGTGGGCAGGACAGTGGGTGGCACCATCCCCCTAGAACCTGAGGACCAACCAGGCCCAGCAGCTCAGTTACACAGTCTCCCCTCCCCTCCAGGTCTGTGTCCATGGACCACTTCATGTCTCTGAACTTCAGCTGCCTGAACCAACTGATACAATGGAAAGATGTTTCTCAGCTGTTGGGAGAACTACCTGGTCCCAAACGCATTCACTTCCACAGTTAGAAGGCCGGCCGCTTGGAAAGGATGTTGCGTAGGGTGTGCACCCCTGACAATCTCAAAGAGGATTCTCTTCAACCTAACCGCAAATCTGTGTGCCTTGTTGCTCGTCTGCTAAGTGAGACAAACATACCTGTGTAATGATGACATAGTAGAGTTGAAATTTTAGGTAGATGTTTGAGGTCATTTAAAGCATAGCAAGTAGCCGGGACAGGGTCTCTCCAAAGCCCCCGTCCTCCTGGAAGAAGGTGGCATCCTGGACTCCAGAGCCTTCATCTCCCAGGCAGCACGATTCCTGGCGTAGAGACTGAGCTGAGGACAGAGGCAGGTCTCCAGGCTGGGGATATAGCTCAATGGGTAGCGTGCTTGCACAGCAACAGGAAGTCCCCAGTTTCAGTCCTGGCCCCATAGAGACTGTGCAGTAGTGAACATACGTAATACTAACCATCGGATCGTGAAGGCAGGAGTTCAAGGCCATCCTCCGCTGCATATGAGTTCAAGACCATCATGAGCTAGAGACCTCGTCTTACGCAAACCAGAGGACAGATACAGGCTGGGGCCCTGATGTGACAGCCCACAGGCAGCTTCACTTACAGCTCTGGGAGCTGGAACAGAAAGTGTGGCCTGTGCTGCTCTTGTCCCTCGGCTGCTGGTGGACTTAGGAGCTCACGGATCCTCTAAGTCATTGTCTCCAATACTTCCCTCTGAACCCTCCTCTGGGCTCACTGTGCTTGGACACCTGGTCCTCATCCTCCTGGTTCTGCTGAATCCTCCCGGGCCTGGATGGATTTCAGCTCTGCTCTGTGATTCAGCCAACAGTGGTAGAACATTCATTGTCCTCTACTTCCAGATGATTCCATACACTAGTTCTCACCATCCTGGATTGAGAAACCCTTTTAAAAAGGCTCTGCCTTCACCCCATTTTACAGAAGCATAAGCTGAGCCACAGAATGCTCATCTTTGGTCAGGGTCACTCACAAATAGTGTCCTGTGGGGGACACGTAGTGCCCTGCCACAGCCTCTCGGGAGGAACACGGCGCTGCTCCTGTGGCCCTCTCATCTTGCTCCCAACTCCCCACCCCTAGTGATCCTCTTGGGTTCATACTGCCAAAATGCCTTCTGATATTTTCAACAAAGACAGTGGGCTCAGCCTTGCGCCTTCCCAGCAACCATAAAGAACAGGACGTGTCATTAGGGAGGTAAATTTAGCCCATGACCAAATTTGGGCAAGGCTGCTGTTGGTAGGACCCAAGAGGGCTTGAGAGTCTGGCCCAAGGTCTTCCAACAATCAGGTCACTTGGGAAGAACGAAAACAATCGGCATTTTGAGCCTCTGCCATCTGAGCTGCCTCGATCCCACTCGGTTAAAACCCGACTCAGCCAGCAACACCGGAGACCCACCGGGGCTCTGTGCATGGGTGCAGCATTTCCTGTTTTTATTTTTTATTGTGGGGGGAATCATTTCTTTTGCTCCACGGCTTTCCCCTCCAACACTCCACCCCAGAAAGGGTTACAATCCGAGGCAAAGCTTTACCGTAAGCACAAAGAGCTAATATTGGCAGATTGGGGTTTCTGTGAATATTCATTGTAATCTGCGACTTGGTGAGCTGGGATCGCTCCCTCCTGCAAGCTGCACACTTATAACTTGTGAATTCATAAATATTTACGAATTCACACAGTCATCACCGATAAATTATTTCATCTGACAGTTCCACACAGGCTCTGCCTGGCTTTGTGCAAGTCTGATCAAATCTCGCGCAAACTCTTGGGTGACAAGCGCTGATGGAGTATGTATGGCTCAAGCCGGCACCAGATCTCATAGATCCGAATGGGTCACTAGTAGAGATTTACAAGAACCCGGGTACAGGAATTGTGTTCACGGGCTGCTAGGTGCTCTCTGCAACTGTACATATATTTATAGCCCCGAGTCTTTGACTGTGTCAGAAACATAGGGACATGAGCCATGGAAAGAGGAGTGGCCAGGACCTGGGCAGGCAGGATGCCTCCCTGCAACCTGGGGATAGCCGTTCTCAAGGCTCTGCACACGTGGGGTAACAAAACTGTGGGTGCCTACACCGAAGCCCCCAGCCCAGGGTCTCCCCTCCAGGAAGTTCAATCATACCCTCTTCTTCCTTCCTTATTTAACGAAAGTATGAATACTCACCAGTTCCAAGTGACCTGGGCCTCAGAGACTTCGAAAGTCTTTTCTCTCTTTGCACTCAGTGTCACAGGGGGTGTTTCTGTGTGTAGTTTTGATTAGCGGCGGCTACCCCAGACCTGACTCACCCACTGGAGCTGCTTGGCCCTCCCTCCCTAACTGCCTGCAAAGACAAGACATTCCTTGCCCTGCTCGCCCGGTGTCCACCCTGTTGTTGAGAGTGTAAGGATTATGAGTGAGTTCCTGAGTGTTGGCTTGACACCTACCCAGGGCCCTGTTGGCTGGGGACAAAGGCCACCCCAGCTCAGTGTCTCACCCTGCCTGTTCCAGTCCACCCTGCAGCTTGTGCTGGGCTCTTCTGTCGGTTGAGTCACATTTCATTTCTACCCCAGGACTCTCACACTGCTGTTTCCTCTCTCTCTGCAATGCCCTTCCTTCCACAGAAACCTGTCTCCGAGGTCCCCCGAGTATGGCCAACTCCCTAGAGACCCTTCCTCACGCTGTAGTCAACCCTTCCTCCGGTATCTTTCTCTTTCCCCAGCACAAACTCGCCCCATCTTTCCCCCTCTTCTTATTTTCTGTCTCTGTCCACAGAGGCGGGCCTTCAGTGACTGACCTCAGACTCCCTTTCTCCCGCCTCCAACAGCAAATGGTACATCCTACATGCTCAACAAACACTGCTTTGATCAAATGAACACACATGCACATAGCTACAGACAGGGCAGGTGCCAGGCTTACAGGGTCCAGGCTCCGCCATTTCTTAGGTTTGTGATTATGTGTGACTGAGACTTACTTGTCCCAGCTGAGACTTATTTATTAGCCAGTTTTTAAAGATATGGTAACGAAGTTACCTGGTTCATCCATTTTTCTAAGAAACTTCAACGAGTTTCAGAGTTTCAAAGGCCCGCCCTCCCATAGACTCCTCCAGCCTCTCACAGTCTCCCCCAGCCTCCCCCAGCCTCCCCCAGCCTCCCAGCCTCCCCAGCCTTCCATTGCCTCCCACAGCCTCCCACAGCCTTCCATAGCCTCCCACAGCCTCCCATAACCTCCCCAGTCTCCCATTGCCTCCCACAGCCTCCCATAACCTCCCCCAGTCTCCCATAGCCTCCCACAGCCTCCCATAACCTCCCCCAGTCTCCCATAGACTCCCATAGCCTCCCCAGCCTTCCATTGCCTCCCACAGCCTCCCACAGCCTTCCATAGCCTCCCACAGCCTCCCATAACCTCCCCAGTCTCCCATTGCCTCCCACAGCCTCCCATAACCTCCCCCAGTCTCCCATAGCCTCCCACAGCCTCCCATAACCTCCCCCAGCCTCCCACAGTCTCCCCCAGCCTCCCATAGCCTCCCACAGCCTCCCCCAGTCTTCCCCAGTCTCCCCCAGCCTCCCACAGTCTCCCCCAGCCTCCCATAGCCTCCCACAGCCTCCCACAGCCTCCCCCAGTCTCCCCCAGTCTCCCCCAGCCTCCCACAGTCTCCCCCAGCCTCCCCCAGCCTCCCCCAGTCTCCCCCAGCCTCCCACAGTCTCCCCCAGCCTCCCATAGCCTCCCCCAGCCTCCCCCAGCCTCCCCGGCTTCCTCAGCTACATTGCAGGGATTCTCTCCTGTGGACAATTGATAACTTATGCACTGAATGAAGAAGCCTAGATCTGCTCACTCCTCCTGTGAGGATCCTGCAACGTGCCTGGTCTGAACAACCTCTGACCTTTCCTTCTAGCACCCCCAAGCCTGTTTCTGGGGATACCCCATCAGATTTTGAGGAGACACACTTTGAATTTGAGGTCCCAGGGTGCCGGGGATCAGACACACCATGGCAGTCATGCTGGCAGAATGGAGACTCCGTGTGGAGAAAACCAACCCTGCAGCCTAAGGTCTGGCCTTGTGCATGCTTCCAGCAGCAGACAGACCTTTCACACACACACACACACACACACACACACACACACACACACACACACACACACGTGTACTGAGCACCACACTGAAGTGCAAACATGGATGTGCACACATGCTCTCATACGCAAGTGTCTTCCAACGTCACTTAAGGAAAACTCAGGCGGAGGAAGAGAGAGAGTTGCTTCTTCCAAACTTTGTAAACTCCACAGCTGCCATTGGGTAAATCTCTTTTGTCTTCTCTTTCCTTTATTTATTTTCCCCAGAAATTCCAAGAGGAGTGTTTTTGAGCGTGTCGGCTGACAAGCGTGCACATGTGCCCAGAGTCGGGGAGCCATCGGCCCCGTCGCTAACTTGTTAGACGGCAGGTAGATTACAATCATAAATAAATGATCTGCTGTCTGCTTGCATTCGGGCTTGTAGCTTTTAAAGTGTGTCTGTCATCGTAGAATCAGATTTAGTCAAACGCTGTGTAACTGCGAAATTATCCTATCCTTACCTTTTTATTCTCCTTATAATGGACAGTTAAATTGGATTTTCAAATTTGAAGTGCATATGTTTTTCAAATCCCCAGAGGCTGTCTAGTT